AAACCAAAATAGACGTGAAATAAGGACGTTTTTCCCAATCATTCAGGCTTCATGATATTTACTATTATTGTTTATATTCTAATTTCAGTCAAATTATTTCTAAAATAAATCCTTTCTTAGCAAAAAATATTTACGATGCAGTAATATGCAAAGGTCTCACCGAAAATAAAAATTTACACGGACGTGGTGGAGTGCAGATCATGTGTGTTTAAAAATATTTTTTTAACCAATTATAGCTGACTTGAACTAAATTCAAAAGGCCTAATTTACGATCCTTTAAGTGTTAGATAAAGAAAAAATTATTAGTGAACTGGTCTAGAACAGTCTACCCCAGTGAGCGAAATAAAAGTTTCAATTCAACATACCAACCACCTGAAGAGCGTAACAACGGCCGAAACGTTGTAATAAATATGGCGACAAAGATGAGGACAATAGTCCGAATAATATAAATTCGGTACATAATACCTCATCTCAGAAATATAGAACGATCATCTTTCTTATTAAATATCCCACATTGTGATAACAGAAGAATGGTTAAATATTGTACTGGACGCAAATTTACTGTGGCTGAACTAGCGATTAATAACACTTAACATTTTCGTCTTAGTGAATTGTTTTCTCTTTTAATTAGAGTAGATTTTTTTTATGTCAAAATTGTGGTCAGTCCCGTCACAGTGAGAAACTAATGGGTTTAGTGTGTGTGTGTGTGTGTGTGTGTGTGTGTGTGTGTGTGTGTGTGTGTGTGTGTGTGTGTTTTAATGTCTCTTGTGTTCATATTCTCTTATTTAATCTTGAGGTTTCTCTAAAATATTCTTCCTGGCAATTTTTGTGGGTGATAGTGTAAATTCCTCCTTCAAGTTTTGGCTTGTTTTGTTTTGTATTGTATTTTTGTTTTAGTTGTAGCTGCGAAAAATTTATATCGAGCTTAGATAAATACTTTTCGATTCTAGTTGTGATAGAGTTAGTGGGTAGAACAATATATTTTCCGATTCGTTGGGTTTGTTAGGGGGGACTGCTTTTCTATTTTGGAATATTTTATGAGCCTTTTGTTTCGCATGGGATATGAAAGAGTATTGAAAGGTCTTGAAAGTATTTTCAATGTATTTCACCTCTTCGTGTAAATATTGTGGGCTGCAAATTATGTGTGCTATTAAGGATAATCCCATGATAATTGCGGTTTTTATTTTATGATGGGAATAGAAATTTATGAAATCATTTTTATTAGTTGATTTTCGGTGGATAAAGTTTTAAGCTGATGTCAATACGGTGTAACATGATATCTAGGAAAGATAAAATATTGTTTTCTTCCATTTCCTATGTAAATTCTATTGTATGTTCGACTTTGTTTATCAACCTGGATAGTACAATTTTCAAACAAATTTGCATCCAAGAAAAAGAAAACACCAGAAAAGTCCGGACAAGGCGAAAGAAATCGTCCAGTGCCTTAAATCTCTGGTACAAAGAAGAAAAAAAAGCAGCGAGTAATAAGTTAAAACCAAGAGTGCTCAATACATTAAGTAGAGTAAAAGTAAATAAATAAATCCTAATGAACCAGATACAACCTACCTAGGTTTTACCACATGGGATCATCAGGGTGAACTGGCTAAGAAGGGATTGACAGGGAACAAATTTACTGATAAAATTGCAGCTAAAACCTAAAATTAGCATAAGCCTCCAAAAATATAAAACTCGTGACAACCCCCCCCCCCAAAAAAAAACAAATCTTTATTCTAATAACCCCGCTTTCTTATGCCTACATCTAGTAAGGATTTCTGACCTCTGGTTTGATCAAATTTTTGGTTTGTTGTTAACTTCTCCATACATAATATACAGAACTTGTTGCCGGCTTTATATTTACAACATTTTTTTTTTTTTTTAATATTTCCCATTTTATAATGGGATCCTTTCTATCTTCCAAATACATTTAAATAAGTTAGTGTTATACCTATACTTCTCATTCTTGAAGCTACTTATATGATTATAGTATTGATTAGAGTATTGTACTTTTATTCGTGATTGAATTATTTCTACTTATTTCAACTTTATAGACGACACATTCTTGCTGACACTTGCCCTTGCACATGCTGCGCCGTCGTCGGTGGCGTTTCCTATTCAGCGTGTCGGTGTTGATATCAAACGCTGATCTGGGCCTGTTTGAATTTGGGTATATATTTTTTAGTCGACTCGAAATTAATGTTTTGTTTTTTGAGCGGGAGTGGCTCTGACTGGTCATAATATATTATTAATTTTGTCTTAGGTAAAGCAGTTGACCCGATACGCAGAAAACCTATTTATGTGCTCGAGCGGTCAACATCCGGTTTGTGTGGAAAATGAAGGAGGCACGACACATTACGTTAATTTTTTTTTTTTTTTGCTAATTGCTGCTCTTAAATTCACAACATTATTTCTGGAATTCCAATAATTCTAATCCCATTTCGACATCTTATTTATTGGTACGTTTGCTGCTGATGCAATTTTAATTAAATTACAATGGTAAACTGGAAAAATATAAAAATTAATGACAAGGGGAGACTTTTTATACGAGTCGTTTCGTCCTTTAGGACGTTATAGTGCTAAATTTAAATATCTGGGAAGTATATTAACAGACGATAGAAGGAAAAAAGAAGATTAACAGACGATAGAAGGAAAAAAGAAGATTAACAGACGATAGAAGAGAAAAAAGAAGATTAACAGACGATAGAAGAGAAAAAAGAAGATTAACAGACGATAGAAGAGAAAAAAGAAGATTAACAGACGATAGAAGAGAAAAAAGAAGATTAACAGACGATAGAAGAGAAAAAAGAAGATTAACAGACGATAGAAGAGAAAAAAATTTTAAGGTGTATAGAAAAATCCCGTTAGAAACAAAGAAAACAGTGTTGAACTGTGGCAATAAAAACAGGAATATGTCCTTTTTTTGATGAAGAGACTCTTGAAGCAACAGAGATGTGGTTCCACCGGCGAACACTATGAATACCACAGACAGAACATGTAAACAATGAGGACGTTTTAAGGTAAACGGGAACAATAAGCAAAAATATATTTTATGGGACACATAACGAAGAAAAGGGGCCTAGAGAATTTAACACTCACTTGGCAATACTGAAGACAAGAAGCAGAAGAAAGAGTGTGTAACCTACTTAATGAGTGTGTGTGAATGGATGATAGAACAGAGACAAAGATAGTAATGAGTCAAAAAAAAAAAAAAAGTTACGTAGAGCAAGAAAGGACAGGAAATTGTGGAGAACCATGATCGCACACGTCCGGAAAGGATTTCGCACATAAAACTATTAAAATTAGATTATTTCTTGAATTCCAATAATTTCCCCATCATTCACGCGTCATTGCATTTAACGTTCTTGTTTTTGTCAAACTCTTGATTATTTCTGACAATCCAATCACTTTCCCATGATTCAAACGTCATTACACTTACTGTTCTTGAGATTATTTTTAAAATGACTATTTTCCTATGATTCAAACATCATTACATGTGATAATGATATATAAATTTTTATACATCAAGAACAGTTTTAGGGGGAAAATTTATGACAAAGTGGAAAAACTTTTCGTTCGATGGGTTTCGTCCTTTAGGACTTGATCGGATTAAGTTTGTTTACATTGATACGACTACACATGCGAGCGACGCTGGGAATTTTAAAGATGATTTTTTTTTCATGTGTTTTTTGGTATACAATCTAGCCAATTTTATTTAGATTTGTTTTTTCTTTGTGTTTTACAACCCTTTTTTGTCATTGAATATCCCACGTTAATAATAGAAGATCCGCCAAGAAGAATATTATTGTTCTCGGCGCAAATTTACTGTGGGTGAGCTCGTCATTAGAGCACTTTCTAAACATTTTCGTCTTAGTTAATTGTTTTCTCTTAATTAAAGTAACATTTTTATATCAAAATGGTCAGTCTCGTTAGGGTGTGCAACTCAAATACATTTGTTGTTTTGTAAAAGATGCCCTTTGTGTTCATATAATCTTTTACTTACATTCCTTAAGCTTTCTCCAATGTATTTATTGTAGCAATTATTACAAGAAAGAGTAAATAAATTAAAAAAAACTCTTTAAATTTAAAATCCCCAACTTCGATTGCTCGTTTGCGCATGCGTAGTCGCGTTAACGTGTAAACAAACTTAGACCGATGAAGTCCTAAACTACAAAACGCATCACGAGACTACTTTTTCTACTTTGTCAAACATCTTTTTTCCTAAAACATCATTATTCCCCAATTATTCTTTTTCTAATGATAACGAGATTTGAGAAATTCCAAAATTCAAAATTTCTTGTAGATTATTGATAAAATTCCAATGTCTTTCATATCATTCAGGCCTTAATAGACATTGTCTAAATTACACTACCAAATAAAACGAGATTCTTTTGAAAATCATAAGTTATTTCTTCTCTTATTCAGATGCCATTATAAGTTTTCTCTTCGAGTAAATCATTGCGAAAGTTCTGTCTTTTATGTGATTCACACTTTACATTCATTGACACAAAACATTTTTAAAATTCAAATCTTTTCCCCATTATTCAATCATTAGTTTTATTTTCATTCTTGCTATTCCAATTACAACTGGAGTTTTTATAAAATAATGTCAACAATTTTTTTTTCTATCGTGACAATAAGAATTTCCCTTTTATGTTTTTTGCACTTCAGTTATGTGCCATGCATGATACTCGCTTAGGCGATCTTATATCTTTAGATACATGACTGACGAGGCAGATTTTTTTTCCCGCATTAGGTTGCCATTTCTTTCTGCGGTAGACCAGTTGCCACCCAAGGCTATAGAACCCGGTCTGTCCTGCTATTTACCCATAACTGGGGCGGGGGAGAAAAAGAGGATTCAAAATATTAGCACGTAAGTGAATGTAATGGATTTGACTGGAATTCGAACTCGCCTCTCCGATTCCTCAATCCAAGCCGTTATCCATTACTCTACCGTAGTTTTATGTTATAAGCATTAATGCTATTCACCAGAAACTGTTAGACTTTCGGACATATCACGTTGAAACACCGGTTCTCGTACGATTACCGAAATTAAGCAACGTCGAACCTAGTGAGTACCTAGATGGATGACTGCGTGGGAATGTCAGTTTCTATAGGTTCGGATGTGCGGTTGGTGTAAATGGATAATGGTACGGAATTGTTAATCGGAGAGCAGAGTTCCGATTCCAGTGTAACGGAGTAACGATCCTAAAATCTACGTTTTATAAGGAGAAATATAAAAATGACGTTTGAGTGTTAGAATTTATATAAACAAAGTAAAAACATGATTTGGTATATTCAACTCTGGCTTCAGGAGGGCACGAACACTGAACCAGAAACTGGAATGAGAAAATGAGAAGGTTTGTTGATGGCTGATAAAATAAGATTAAGGGCATCAGTAAAATGATGAGCCCGAAATGCGATTTGCAGTTCGGGAACACTAGAATCAAGCAGACGAGGAAGTTTAAATATCTTGACAGAGGACGGTAAGTGTGACACTGAGATCCGTAGACATATTGGGATGGCCAGGGAGGCATTCCAACAGCTGAGCAGAGTATTGCGAGAAAAAAGGATTTTCTTGTTACCGAAGTAAAGAATACTGGACTGTTACGTGACATCTGTCCTTTACGGTAGCGAATGGTGGATGATTTCCTCAAAGATGAAGAAGAAACTCGAGGCGACGGAGATGTGGTTCTACAGAAGGATGCTAAGAATATTATGGACCGAGTGTGTGAGCAACGATGAGGTCTTAGAGAGATTTCAAAAAAGGAGGAGGCTTATACTTAACATCAGGAAGAGGCAGCTGAAGTTTCTGGGACATATAATGAGAAAGGAGGACCAGGAGAATCTGATACTCATGGGTCGAATAGAGGGAAAGAGATACAAGGGAAAACAACGCATGACATACCTGGCGGACTTAAGCAAGTGGATATCAGAACGTGGTTGGGGGAGGTAGCAGAGGTAAAGAATTGAAAGGACATGACACATAAGAAAAGAACGTATTTACTTCCAGCTCAGATATCAGCTTGAAATGACTTTCGGTCACAGCAGAGTTAGTATGCTAATAAGTAGCACTTGGATTTTTTTAAAACTCCACCTGGGTAGTCAATGTTTGTTCAAAAAAGGTTAGTACAAGGTTTGAAAACTGGTGAAGGCGAAATTAATTTGAAACTGAGAACTTGAGAGAAACAGATGTCCCTTTCCTGCAACAATCGTCTGCAATTTTTATAATTATTTGCGATTTCTGGTGGGTAATCCCTCACCAGTAAGAAAGCCATCTGGTTAATTTAAGGGAATATGGAGATAATGAAATGTCAATTATGAGCATTGTCATTTTCTAAGGCCTGGCTAGGTAAAGTGAAGTCAATCATTGTTATCAGGAAAGATTTCCGCATTTAGCTTGGCAGTCATTTTCCGTGAAGAGAACAAACGGGCTGGGTTCGATAACATCCTCATTTCGTTAAAAACGCAGACACAGTGAATACAGTGAATCGTCAGTTCGTAGAAGTTAAATTATGTGGACTTATTTTTTTCTCTTCACTCTTAAGTTTACAGAACGTGTTTGGTTCGTTTATCAAATAATATTTCTTCCTCTCAAGACAACCACCAATAGACGTAACCAGCAACCAGAAACGAAGGTTCATTCTGTGGGAGATCGATTTCATTGATTCTCTACGGGGACACAACGACAAAATTTGGGTCCAACTATGGACAATCGCCTCAAACCGACAGTTGGAACTGGAAAAGACTTGATCCCTGTCAAGTGAAATGTAACAGAAATCTACTTGCCTTGTTGACACTTATTCCCTAGCATGACTTATTCGGTCGATACTGACGAATTACCCGATCTACCTGGTTATATCTCGTGCAGCAAATCAAACAGTTGTAATTGAGTGCAGTGACAAGGAACGGATCACACTCTCTGCCACCCTGTTATACCAGTTGAGTTCGTTATATTTACTTGCGCCCAAATACCCTTGGGAAAAGAAGGAATCCACTTCTTCCTTGGCCTCACGCTATCAACTGACTTGAAGTGGAACGATTTCATCGAATCTATAGATGCATCTACTGCGAGGAAATTTGAGTCAATGTGCCGTGCCAGAAGGTTTTTATCGTCAGAGTTCATCTTGCACATCCACAAATCTACCATTCGGCCGTACATTGAATATTGTTGCCATATATGGTCTGGTGCTCCTGTTATTCATCTCCAGATTCTTGACAAAATCCACAAAAGGGTCTGCAATGTAATCTATCCTGACTTGGCATCTCGACTTTCTCACCGACGTGACGTGGCTTCCCTCTGTCTTTTCTATAAATATTTTCATGTCAACTGCTCTGATGAGCTTTTTCCCCTGATGTCCATGAATTTAAGCGTGCTACTACATTGGCATCTAGGTTCCACCCTTTAACTGTTGAAATAGATAAATACAACTGCCACTTCTACTCCAACAGTTTTTCTCGCACTTCCCGTCTGTGGGACTCCCCTCCGTTTACTTGCTTTCCTGATAACTACAATCTTAAAAAAAATTAAATTAAACGTCAACCGCCATCTTGAATCCCGTTCATCTGATCCTTTCCGCAATCCTCCTTATACCCGGTCATTTTTCTCACTTTCACTCTTTTTAAACACCCCCGCGTTTTGGGGGTGAAATTATTTAAAATAATAAAAAAAAAAGATCTGGGTTAATTAGTATGACTTGTATTACTAAGCCATTATCTCAAAAAATTATTAAAATCTAAAAATATTTTCTACGATTTATTAACCCTTTGGAGGTTATTTAAAACCTGAAAAGGGTTGATAAATCGTAGAAAACTAATCCATCAATAGTTGCATAAACTTCCTGGATTAGCTCTCCATTTTTTTACTAAATAGAGTAGAATATATTGGCTGAAAAGTAGACGTTTAATCAATTCTTAATGTATTGTAGATTGAAATAAGCATCCTTACAATCTTAAAACTTTTTTCTTTCAGATTACAAATTTCCTCCTGAAGCAATTTTTAATGCTAAATTATATTTGAATAATCTATTGAGTTAATCCTGTTTTAAAGACTTCGTGTTGACGAAATAAATGTGGCTCTCTACGCAATATAATCGGTTACCTTTATTACCTTTTTATATGAAATACCATTATAATTTATTGCCAGGTTTCATTGCTTACTGGTTGCATATTTAGGAATTTAGATTTTCATATACATTGATGCACATAATTGTACGTATTTGACGTCGTCTCAAAGCCACTTAGGTCTCACGCCACCGGTGCCTACGGCCAAATCCTGTCTAGCAGAGTCTTTCCATTTACTAAGCAAAGTTACCAATTATGTAGGCCATCTCTTTTCTTTCTTTTTTTTTTTTTTTTAATCAATTCACCGAAGCACGGCGATAATGCCACTAAGACGCAATGGGCTACCGAGAGTGGAAGAGAACGAGAAGACTTTAGTAGAAACTGGAAACTCAATCATAAACAGTAAACAAGGGATAAACCTCTACTCCTGTTCAAAAGGACTGGAGAGGAATGATAGGCGAATATATCTACTATTATATTGGATACAAAATATATTTGGTTGAGTGTTTAACAAGTGTAAATGTTTTTCTTTCATTATATAGTTACAAAAATAATTATCTACCCTTGCATATAAAGTATCAAGAGGAAGCTAGCGGACGCAGTTCCATCACGGCATGCAAACTAGACGAACGTTCTTTTCCTCATCTCTCACGGCTCGAGAGATACTGCAACCATTGAACTATTTCTGGTGAAACACTAACATGCAAGTAAGAGGCTTTTTATTTCTTTGTTAGCATTTCTTATTATTCCGCGTGTGATAATTTACTTGGTAAATTAGTTTATAATCTTTACCACGTCTCATTTGTTTGTTATATTGCACACGTAACATAAAATCCTCTTGTCTTTTCATACCAATGTTATTTCCGTGTTAATCCAGCCAACCGACTTCACTAGTGATAGTTAAGAACTGTTAGGTGGAATATTCCTTTTCTTTTACCAATCCTTAAAATGGCATCAGTTGGGTTGCAATTATTGATTTAACTCCCCTTACAGCAGTATAAGGAAAAGATTTGCAGAGGGTCGGGTCAACGGCCAATCTTCGTAAGGTCGAATTACTAGCATGGTAGAGATAATTAAGGAGAAACAATAATGTCAAGTGATTTTCACTTCTTCCTTCATTACTGAATTTGACCAAATATCTTTAACTGATTTAACTGGACTGACTTGACCAACGTACATTCTCTATACCAGTAAAATCCATGTAATATATTCAGCAATATTTGTCCAGAATTGCTGCCGCCTCTTTATAAAGTTTACTTAATTAAAAGTTGTTATCGATTGTTTATCTTCTAATGTTTCTCATACAACAATGGCGTGCAATACCTCAAATTATCCTTCTTTATTTTGTGATTTATAACATTTACAGTACCTTAGTCCCATAAGATTATCCGTATACATGTTTAGAACAGTATTGGGTCCTTGTAAAATGAACGTTTTAATTCAATTAAAAAAAAGTACATTTTTCTTTTCCTTGGTTCTTTTGGACACGCACAATACTTTATAGTTTTAAAATTATGTGAAAATATTTCTCTTTTTTAATTACATATTTCTAACCCTTTGACATTTCCACACATGCAGCATCACAGAATTTGTATAAAATTGATCAGAATTTTTTTTTTTTACTGGTAAACATCGAGGTTCTAATCTAGTCGCAGACAATTGTCTTGCCCAAATTTGAACCATCTCCAGTTCTTCCTCGGAATATCTGTATCGGTTTTTATCGACATTTGTCTCACTCACTCATCCCTGCAGAGATTCGTTGGCTTGGTTGCAGTTCTTTTGAGCTCATCTTTTTTTTAGGATGGTTATTATCACTAAAATACCAAACTAAGTCTCCTATGCAATCATTTATTGTTTGTAATTTATTTCTTAATAAGATTATTTTTCTATTGATTTTTTTTCTATTAAGAATTTTTCCTCGCGTTATATTGAGGTATTTTGTTATTAGAGTTGCTATGGAACTACCATGTAAGCAACGACGATGTTTTAGAGAAAATGGAAACAAAAAGGACACTTATACTCAACATCAAGAACAGACAGT